CCGCGCCTTGGCAGATCCCGCCGCGCATGTGCCGCGCGCTCGCGTGCATATGTGCGGCCCCGCGCCCGCCACCCGCCCGCGCAAATATCTCAATATGGGAAATTCGAGACCATCAATTATTGGGCTCTCCTCGTGCGCGCCCCGAAAAAAGCCTCCCATTGGCCGCCCTGCCGCCGCGAGCAACTGCCCCCCCGCCCCCTGCTTACAGCATCGGTGTATGCCGTTTGTTCAACTTAATGTGTACCTTACATCTTTATTTACAACAGAGCTAAGACCCGCCCCCCTCCGCCTCGAAGACTATCGCCCCCGTTAGCCCTCGCCGCCGAGGGACAAGCGCGGCGTAGCGGCATTTGTCCACGTGCGCAGGAATGTTTGTCCCTGCCTCGCGAAAAAATCTCGCCGCCCCGTCGCGCTCCGCCATCTATTTTCCCAGATGCTATCTCGCGCCGTGGCCCTCATAGGATGACGCCCCCTCCTTTCCTCTTGCCATGGCTTAATCTCGCTTTGTGCTTGCCTGTCCACTTCCCTGCTTCTTGTACTTTGCGCTTTCCTCACAACAACTTTTTAGAGCAAGGCAACCAGTGCGCTAATTTATAGCGCACATTTTTAGCCATGCAGCGCTCTAAAGAGTGCGCAACACAACAAGTGCGTCGCCATCATATGGCACATACAGTATTATGTGACGGCCCGCAAGGGGCCGAGAATTAGTTTTTCCCAAGTTTTTCGCCAAGACAAGGGGTCTGAAGCACGGCGCATATAGCACTCGAAAGATGATTGGTTATAACTTTGCTCGCACGTGTCCCCATTAAACTCCCTTGCCCCAAACAACATCAAGTAGAAACATACTGACTGCAGCCTGTAGCTTTGGAAGTGTCGCGAGACCCTGTATGCTTTCCTTACTATGTAGTGCTCAGATGGCTTAGCCCATCCAGAACGAGTCAAGCGCGCCAATGGCGCCTAGCTGCTGCCCCACCACCGTCGTGGCCAGACGGTCCCGTTCATGAATTACCCTTGGGTACCTAGTCCTGACTACAATTCGTACAAAGTACCTACACGCAACGAGCTCAACTACTGCCGTCTACAGTATCATCCCCAATCGCTGTACATGCCACGCTACGCGTTGTAGTCCACACGAAAGTTGAGACATGCAGAATCAGCCCATTTCCCTTATGTAACAGCTTGTCATTCAATTCCTTGTGCACTCGAGGAAACCAGGTCAAGCATTTCACTGAAAACGGCACACACCTCTGCCATCGTACTGTTCTAGAAACATGTTCCCGCTTGTCACTGATTCCCATCACATACCAGTTGCTGCCTCGCTGTGTTAAAACTTTCATGGGCCAGGTACAAATATCTTCAATTCGCTGTTCTCACCACCAAGGGACGGGGAAAGCGGCCACAACTACATCGGCGCTTCAACCTACAAATTCTTCTCTCCTTAGAGTGCGTGGTTAACGTGCTCTCGAGACATCTGCTGCCTTCAAGGAAGATGCTTCGCACACGCCCTTGAGGAAAGCTCCTCAATACCAATGTCTTGCTCAAACAGGAACCGCGAAAACATCTTTTCGAAGCATGCCGAACAAACCTTTCCAACCACGAAACGTGAAGCAACACCGTGTTTTCAGCTCTCGATGCAATATGCCCTTTGACGTGCGTGCCGCTCGAAATCATGACTTTTGGTACAGTCTACTGCTGTATTCGGAAAATAATTGGCCTTGTCCTTGCTCTACGCTAGAGAGGAGTTCAAAGTCACTCCATGCATCTTGCGTCTTAAAAGTCAAGAAGCATACACTATCGAAATCATTGCAACAGCCACGAGGGCCAACACCTCTCGTCGCCGTCGCGATGAAACGTATTCAAGCTGTTTTATACTGTCAAATTGCCGACTACGTGCGGGCCATGTGTCTCTACATCTACAAAGTTTACATCTGTCGAGAAAGAAAGAAAACGACATGAAAGGATGCACCTAGCTTACGTAAATACAGCTCATAAGAGTTCGTATAGCTCGTTCGGGTGAGGAGAAAAGTAAAACACGCACGGTACTTCCCGTTCTCGTGTCGGCGATGCTGGGAAGTGGGTTCCGCGCTCTCTGCTGCCAAGTGGCCCTGGGTCTCGTTCCGCCTGGGACCCTCGGCTAGAGTCGGGAAATGCATCGGAGGTTGGGACCAAGGCCGAGCATTGTTAGCATCTGTCGGTCGGGCTCATTCGCGGAAAGTAGAGAGGATGGTTTCGCCGCGCTCTACGGCACATGACATACATCACAATTTGTGGAAATGCGTGGTTTGGGATGTGTTGGGGGTTGCCCCACGCACGCAGCAGGAATAGGCGGCCTGTACGTCCGTGTTGAGGAGTCGCAACAAACAGCTCAAATGTGACGTTACAGCTGCCTCCTTCAGCGTGATCTTGGCGTGACGGTCACTCAGAATGAGTTACAAATAAACTCATACCACGAAGAGTGCCAGCAAGACAGAAGGGGGTGAGTTGCTGGCCTGGATCGGTCCGAATTTCTTTCCGGTATTGATGTCATATCACAAAAAAGGTGGTCTCGTCGTCCAACAATGAGATCAAGAAGTTCTCAAACGCGTTCGACGATGGAGTGGGTCTGCCCTTTCTGCTGCAAAGTATGCAGAGCTAATGTGTACCGCGCCAAGCACGAGAAAACGTGCAAGGGACCACCATCACGCCCGCCAATCACGCCGATAACCAAGCATCGTCCGGATAAGGGCCCTTCTGTTTTCCCAGGCCAAATCCTAGACACACAGAACCAGTTGTGTACTAACGGCTCGCTTGAAAATGAGACTTATGGCTCGGAGAGTGAGGGACATGCCGAAAATGACTTCATGATGGCAGAAAAAGAAGGATCCGAAACCGAAGATGAAGAAGAGGAAAAATTGCTGTCTGACATTCCAGAGACCGAACTAGAAGACTTCGGAATAACTTTGAGTCCAAACAGTCAACATCTGAGTGCACTTCAAAACATTAGTACAAATTCGCTCTCTGTAACAAATCTACAGTATAAGGCTGCAAGGTTCATTCTAACGTCTGGTCCTTCTTGTAAGGGGCTTTCTGAAAAGATGACGCACCAGTACTTGTGCTCTCTAGATGAAAATGGGGATGTCCGAAAACTATGGAATGGCGGTATTTTGTTCTGGAAGGACCATCGACGAAGGCAAGAATTGGTTTTGAGGAGGTACGGGGAGTGGCAGCAGCTTACAATTACTTCTGTCAGTGCCGATATTTCAAAATATACTGCCCTGGTCAGGTGTTTACCTTCAACTATTGTCCTCCTCGTCACGAATGCTAAATACTTGTCCCCGGGTAATGGTGTACAATGGAAAGATGTTATGGGATTTGTCCCGGAACAAAAAATGAACCCAGAAGGTGCACGAATTCTAGATGACATTTATTCGGGGGATGATCTTATCTACCTTTTCAAAGCTCTTGCCAAGAAGAGAAGCGAAAGTAATACCCTATTTCTTCCCCTGCAGCTTTTTATTGACAAAGCAAATGTTACACGTTTAAATAAGCGTTCAATGTATCCGGTCGTTTTATACATTCTCTGTTTTTCCCGTCAGGTGAGGCGACGTTTAGCGGTGAATATTGCTTTCATTCCTGTGGTTAGCAACCTTTCATCAACTGGGAAGAAACTGTCTTCAGAAATAACGAAGCAAGCCAGGTGCTCAGTGTGGGATAATTCCTCTCCGCCCTGGGTTGGGTGAGAGGCGGAGGCTTTAGCGAGGTAGCACGCGGCGCGGACGCGACGCGCCAATTGAACCGATCGGACGAGCTCGCGAAAAGGGAGTGGCTCATTGGCCGGTTACGCGCAGTCGCCCCGTGGTGCGTGAGCGGGAGCGACCGGTAACGGGTTAGAAGCCAGCGCGCGCGACAGACAACCGAAAACGGACGTACGTAGGCGCGAAAGGGACGGGGGCGAGCTTGCCCCCGTTTACTGGTGGGGACGGGTGCCAGGTCTTAACCCCGCAGGGGGACGCCTCGGACACCTGTCCCAGTACAGTAGTACAGTACCTGCCGCCTAGTGCGTGCCGGGTACTGTACACAATTAAAAAACTAGCGCCATAATTGCTACTACCGCACGGACGCTGCTACTACACGTGTGCACTACTGTACACGCGTGTTGCTTACAGATTACCGCACGGACGACACGTGTGCTAACGCGCACACGTAACACGCGTAGACTACCGCTCGGACGACACGTGCACTACTGTACACGTACGCCAGATTACGACCGCTCGGCATGCGCGCGCGCTCGCTACACGTGGGCACAGCCGCCCACGTGTATACCGTATACGGCCGTCCGATGACCTCCGCGCGCTCGCGCCGGTCATTATACTACACTCAGCAATACAGGAAACAATGCATGCTCTACTTGGTCCACTAAAAGAGGACTTGGTTCTCGATGCTGTTTTCCCCGATGGCGTTAAAAGAGGAATTACGCCGGCGCTCTTTTCGATTGTGGCAGATCTGCCCGAAGTGGCAGTTCTGTGCTCAATGAGATACGGCGTTAATACTGCGTACCCCTGTTCTAGATGTCATGTGCAGTCTGTTGATATTGACAGCCTTGATCCCCGAAATGCGAATTTAAAACAGGCAGGGGCT